GGGAAAGCTGGCCGGGGGGGGCCGCTGCTCGGGGACTGGCTGGGCATCGGTCGGCGGGGGGGGAGCAATTGCACTGTGCATCACTTGCTTTGTGTATTATTATTATTATTATCATATTCTTCTTCTTCTTCTTTTTTTTTTCAATTATTAAACTGTTTTTATCTCAACCCACGAGTTTTTCTCACTTGTGCTCTTCCAATTCTCTCCCCCTTCCCACCGGGTGGGGGGAGTGAGCGAGCGGCTGCGTGGTGCTTAGTTGCCGACTGAGATTAAACCACGACACTGTGATGTCCCCCCTTCCTGGAACTGTCCTGTGAAGACACTTTCTGGAACAAAGTGATGGTGCACACTACCATCCTGGTATTTGCACTCCTTCCCTTCTCCTTAAGAATTATTTCTTACATTAAATTATCAGGGAAATTCTGAAACTACCTTCAGCTCTGGGCACACACAAAGCTTTTTGCACATGCTTTTCACACCTCGGGATGGTGACACTCTTCTATGGTTCGGCCACAGTCATCAGCTTAAAGCAATGACCAAGGAATTCTGTAGGCACTGACAAAAGCCTTGCCCTGTTTTACACAATTGTGACCCCCCCATGATTCACCCTGTCATCTATAGCCTGAGGAATAAGGAAGTGAGAATTGCCTTGAAAAGACTCCTATGGACAAAGTAATACTACTTTTATGTCATGCCCCACCATGATATCTTTGTACTAGAGTACAAAGAGCATCTTCAGTGCCCCTAAATAGTTTAATGCAAATAGCTAGGTCAAGCTGTGTCTGATGAATGCAGTGTTAGAGGGAAATAGTCCCTCTATAGTGGACCATAGTCAATGAGGCCCAGAGGATGACACAACCGATGAAGAGGTGACAATGCTAAGGTTTGAGAAATCACTTGCTAGACCCCCATGGACTATCTATACAGTGTCCCTGCATGGAATCAACTTTAAAAAGTTAAAAGACATAAAGGTCATCTTCCCCTGCTATGATGTCTTGCACTGACTTGTATAATCCTTGACTAACTTAACATAAAGAAAAAAAACAAGAGGGGGAAGAGTCCAGCACTGGAATAGGGTGCCAGAGACCTGTTGAGTTTCTGATTGTCATGGTTTCACCATGCCAGCCAGCAACTAGGCACTACACAGCCACTTGCTCAGTCCCCGCCAGTAGTATGGGGGAGAGAATTGGAAGGGTAAAAGACGGAAAACTCGTGGGTTGAGATAAAGACAGTTCAATAGGTAAAGCAAAAGCCCAACATAAAAGCAAAACAAAGAATTCATTCACTCCTTCCCATGGGCAGGCAGGTGTGCAGCCATCTCCAGGAAAGCAGGGCTCCATCATGCGTAATGACTCCTTGGGAAGACAAACGCCACCACTCTGAATGCCCCCCCGCTTTCTCCTCCCTTCCCCTCCCCCCGATTTATATGCTGAGCATGATGTCATATGGTGTGGAATATCCCTTATGTCAGTTGGGGGTCAGCTGTCCCACCTTTGTCCCTTCCCAGCTTCTTGTGCACTCCCCAGCTGATGGGGTGGGGCAAGAGGTAGAAAAGGCCTTGACTCTGTGTAAGCACTACTCAGCAGTAACAAAAACCAGAAGGGTCTGGACAGGCTGGATCAATGGGCTGAGGCCAACTGTATGAGATTCAATAAGGCCAAGTGCCAGGTCCTGCACTTCGGCCACAACAACCCCATGCAATGCTACAGGCATGGGGAAGAGTGGCTGGAAAGCTGCCTGGCGGAAAAGGACCTGGGGGTGCTGGTTGACAGCTGGCTGAACATGAGCCGGCAGTGTGCCCGAGGCCAAGTGTGCCAAGAAGGCCAAGAGCATCCTGGCTTCTATCAGAAATGGTGTGGCCAACAGGACTAGGAAAGCGATCGACCCCTGTACTCGGCACTGGTGAGGCTGCACCTCAAATACTGTGTTCAGTTTTGGGCCCCTCACTACAAGAAGGACATTGAGGTGCTGGAGCGTGTCCAGAGAAGGGCAACGAGGCTGATGAGGGGTCTGGAGAACAAGTCTGATGAGGAGCGGCTGAGGGAACTGGGACTGTTTAGCCTGGAGAAAAGGAGGCTGAGTGGAGACCTCATCGCTCTCTGCAACTACCTGAAAGGAGGTTGTAGCGAGGTGGG